ACAGATAAGATAGATAAGACTCCTAGATAAGACTAACTAAACTGCTTACAGATAAGATAGATAAGACTCCTAGATAAGACTCCCTACTCAAGAAGGATAAAAACTCCCTAAGATAAATCAGACTCTATACTAATCCTTATTGGAACAGATAAGATAAGAGTAAGAAAGCCAGATAAGATAAAGATAAGGTAAGATGAACTGTGGCTAGCTAGATAATCTGATGAGGGTCCCACGTTACTGCTGCTGCCGGCGGCGGTACTTCTTCCCCACGAATGCGTCCATAACATGCACACACGCACATTCCTTTGAGCAAACACCAATGTACAAGAATGCAATAGTTCCCTTCAAGAATTTAGTTGGTAAGATAACTCACATTCTTTGAGGCGAATGAAAATTCCAAATTTAGATGGATTTATATGCTGTAATCCATGGCTTGCAAATCTTCAAAAGTAGCTAACAAGTGTTCTTTGCATTATTATGATGACAATCTTGGAACTTAGATTATAGAAGCTGCCGAGGTAACTAGTGTTCTTTGCATGTAGTGAAGGTTTTGGGTCCTATTTGACATATAAAGAAAGTAATTCTTGCTACAATTAATTTCAATGATTCCTATACCTTTCCCAAGGGATTGGCCTCCATGCAAATGTCAGTTGGTTTTCTTATTTTTTTAACACTTTCTGCTGGATTTTTCTGTTGTTTTCTGGGACAGTTTCTAATATGCATTTATAGACTTGGGACCAACATTTTTTTTTTATTTCTGTCTTTTACTTGTTCATGAAAATTTTCTCTGTATGGGTTTAGGTGATATGTTCACGGAGGAACAGAATGAATTAGTTGAATCAGCTGCAGAGATGCTTTATGGGCTGATTCACGTCCGATATATTTTAACTAGCAAGGGAATGAATGCAATGGTGAGAGCTCACCCCAGAGTATTTTCTCTTACTCTTAGGCTGATAGCTAGTCTTTGACTATGGCTAAGATTTGCATTGGAACCTCTACAGTTGGACAAGTACAAGAACTATGACTTTGGGAGATGCCCAAGAGTTTATTGCTGTGGACAACCCTGCCTTCCAGTTGGTCAATCAGATATTCCTCGGTCAAGCACTGTGAAGATCTACTGTCCAAAATGTGAAGATATTTACTACCCAAGATCAAAGTACCAAGGCAGTATCCTTGTATGGTTTATTAAGTTTTTTGATTAGTTTTGAATCTATTCCTGAATCTGCTTTTCATGCATATATGTTGGTTATGGTTGCCTTTCTCTACTCTATAGTTTTTATTTCACATCTATGTAGGTGATCCAGTGTCTCATGTTTCTTCCAATAGATATTGGTCAGATCATTTAGTGGAGTTGTTGAAACAGTTAAAGGAACATCCATGTGACCAGTCAGTTTGGAGCTAAGAGAAGTCTCTGGTAAATGTTAATAATTGAGCAAAACTTGAATACAAGGTTGGATTAGGACTGATTTGGACTGAAGAAATCAAACACATGGCCAGGTCCAAAGGGGCTTCTATCTAATGAATAGTCTGAATTGACCATAGGATTTGTGGACATGGCTAAAATAGAGTAGGTTATGTAGGGAAGCTCCTTACTTGGTGTGATCATTATTTTTTTTTTTTCCTCTTGTTTTTTATTAGCAACAGTGTCAGGGCGCTAGGTGATTCTAGGTTATTGTGAGTGCCTTGTTGCCTAGCATCACCTAAGCAATAGAACTTTACAAAGAGAAAAAACTAAATTCTAGGGTAGTTCCCAAACTTCGAAGACCAATTAGTCTGCATAAAATAGAAAATTGGCAAAGCTCTTTACTAATTGCCTCTCAAAACATATCAAACCATCCTTGTCAGAAAAAAAAAAAACATATCAAACCATCATATCTAAAAGACAATAGCGTGTTAAAAAAGTCATGGTATGAAATCCAAAAGGTTAATCAGTTTGTTTTGAAATTCGTGTACCCATTACATGTACAATACATGTTTAGCTAGATTAATTCATAGTTACTATGAAACTTGGTTGCACATGATGACTCACAATGTGCATGCACAGCTTGTAACAGTTGATATTCCAGTAACATCTATAGAAATTTCAAGCAAAATCTAGGTGATTGGATTGGATGACTAAAATCCTTTTTAGACTCTGTTTTGTTCTGCTTTTCTGTTATTTTCCTTCACTGTCCCTAGACATCGATGGAGCTTATTTTGGAACCACATTTCCTCATCTCTTCCTAATGACCTATGGGCATCTCAAGCCACAAAAGCCATCTCAGAGCTATGTTCCAAGAATATTTGGCTTCAAAATCCATAAGCCATGATGCTGGAGTTGCTGGGTGCAGTTGTTTCAATGGGAATTACAATGTTTCAACTTCAACATTTGAGATTTTCTTCTTACTTAAGTTGGGAAGAAATGGTTCTCGAGACCAAGTTACAGTGCGGAAGTCCCCAGAAGTATTACAACTGGTACTGGTTCCACCTCATTACATATTGAGGTAAATGTTTAAAAGCAACTTGGCCTATCCATCGGGCTATTATTTCTTTTAATTTAGCCATGTATTCACAAAGCATTTGCAGTCCTTTTCTTTCTTCCTTTTGTCCCCTTGGTAAGTGTTTGAGATGCCCTCCATATTGAGTTATTTGGTCTTGATTTCACCTTCCTCTTTTACTTTACCCAACCCACCCAAGACCATTGGTCCCTCAAGATCTCCATCCTAGTTCCAGGGGGGATGGCCTTGCTTTCCTTTCTAATGGTAGTCTTATTTTGCCATTGTTCTTTACTTAGCTGTCTTCTATGCTGATGCTTTTATGAAACTTGGTTCAGGCAATTTGATGTATAACACTTAATTATCAGCTTAAAGCATTAAATGTTCAATTTAAAGAGATTATGGAGAGTGGGGAAGTTGTGCATTAATACAGTGGAGAGGTTTTACTCGTGGTAGTGGCGAGTTATGTGTCTCTGTGATTTCAACCGCCATACTGTTGGTTTTTATTCCTTTGCTGTTTATCTTGCCCCACTTGCTGCTTCTCTCTTAGGGACGAATAAATGGTTCGCTTTGCTAATTTTTTTCAGTCGCATCCCCCAGCCCCCATCTGAAGGCATCGATGTTGGGCAGAAATTTATGCACCTCGGTGAACTAGGTCCCCCAAGAGAGCACATGCTGCATTATTTTCTTTTATATTTTTCATTTCAGTAACTTTGTTGTCTTTGAAATATGTTAATGTTTTAAATCAAACAAGAGCTGCGCATCCCTGCTTCTTTGTTCATTGATGCATAGCCAGTGGCTGTGTGCACAGCAACTTCATATAAAAATGGTACCGAGTCTCTTATCGGTACACACTTAGATCAAGGTTCAAAGTATCTATATGCCAAATTGGGTGCATCAGACTTTGTATCAACATTCTTTTATTTTATTTTATTTTTTTTAGTGTTCTTTTATAAAATATGTTCAGGGGGTCCTTTAAAGGCATGGTTACTTACTCCAAAATTCTTTATATTTCACATATCGGTGATCCACCGATATGATACATATCAGCCGATACGAATTGGTATTGAAGAAATTTTGAACCTTGACTATGATTACATATTGTAATGCATGGATATGGGGAAAAAGATATGAATATATTTGGAGCTTTGCATGCATTGGGGCAATTCTTACAAATCTTACAATTACATCAATAATACTGAACCTAAGTTTGAAATAACTATGAACAAGGTATAAACGTATAATACTTCAATAATTTTATAGGAAGCGATACATTTGTGTCCAATCAACAACAATGGGATTGTAGAACATTAGATATCATATAATGATTTTACTAATAATACATCAAATAAGTTTGAGCTTTTGATCCAGTAAAAATTCATTACAAGACACATTAACTTGTTTAATCAACGAGTTAAATAATTCATTTGATGGAAAAAGTTTTTTTACTATGAAAATTATTTAGAATATATAAAATAAACTATTTTTAAGTTTTTGAATTTATCTTAAACATTAAGAAAGCATTCATTTGACATAAATTATTGCAATAGACCACTGATAAATCCATATTATAGTTCAATTCTTTCTTACAATGATAATCATTTTAAACATTAAAAAAATTATAATTTTTTAATTTTTTTCAACTGCTGCCATAGGTCCCATTAATATTCAACAGCACGAGGGCCATTCCACCTATGCCATTATCTTCTTGATTTGTAATACTGATATGATACATCGTGTATTGGTCATATCATTAAGCCTTGCATGTAACTTTAAGTATGGTATTAGAATCCTTACACGTACATAATGCTCACTTTCTTTACCATTTCACCTATTTAATCCTTTGTTATTTCTTGATACACCATAAGTGTGAACGAAGGTTTAAATCAAATACTATCAATATAAGATGGATTTATAAATGATATATCAAATCCATTGATCCATCAACATCTTTATGTCAAAAAATGATGTTCTTTTATATTTTTTAATAATTTAGAGATAAAAATAATAAAAGTATAATAAATATTTTTTAATTATTTTTAGTATTCTTCAAAATTATAATGGATCTGCTAATTTTTAAATTAAGATTATATGTTTCTGTAGTTTATTAATTAATGATAAATAACTAAATAAGAACATATTGATTACTTGAATAAAATATTAGTTTGAAAAATTGATTTAATTTACATTAGTAATTCTCAAGAAGTTGAATGCATTGGCTTAATTTTTTTGCTTAGTTAACAAAATTAAGAACAACTAAACATAGGAAAATTGATTATGCAATTAAAGTGTAATAGTTGTTTTTCAATTTATATCTTGGATCTTTGGTTTATGGATCATGTGCATTTTCATGAATCTAATATATCATTAGATTAATTATATAAATCATCAAATAATGTATTATTAGTAAAGTAATTGAATGATATCTACATGTCCTAAAATCCTAGTATTGTTGTTTGTAATATACTTTTTTTGTATAAACTATTAAAGTATGTATTTTTTATGTATTTATACGTTGTTTTTATTTTAACTTTAGATTTAATGTTATTAACATATTTGTAGAACTTGTGAGAATTTCCCTAACGTATCCAAGCATATCCATATTTGTCGGGTCGAGCTTACCGATGCGATGTATGATACCAATATTTTAAACCTGGGTGAAAATTTGTCAGGCGAATAAGTTGCCTAATGCGTTGACAAATTGCATGGGGAACGTGAACAAATAAAGTCACCATCACCCCTGGTGGTGCATGCAACGCATGAACTCAACAATAAATAAATACATACTGAGAAACAAAACCTTGGTAATGAACTCCAGACCCATCAATAGGGCCAACTCTAGCCCGGCCCCTCTCTTTCTCACCATTTTAAGGATGGCAAAATCTTCCATCTCAGAGAGACAGGAGTCTGGACATAAAACCTGTTTGGGGCCTCCACAAATTTGTTCTTCACTCCAAGGCAGATAAGAAGTTTGACCAAAATGTCACATATGATATCAAACCCAACTCATTACATCCATTAATGAGATATCAACAGCATAACTTAGACAAGAAGAGAGAGAGAGGAAAGGAGGTGACAGGATTCCAAAATATGCCAGTATTTGAATAAAAATATGCTACCAAATTAGGTATAGAAGAAGATGAAGAGTGAAGCAAAGGATGAGAGGAAATACTAAATTATAAATCATGGAGAAGTAATTAAAGTTATTATGAAAAGGAATAAGTCTCTTGAGTCCCTTCATAAGAATTTAAGAAGTTCTGGAACCAGGATATTGAAGAAACATTTTTTCTCTACCATTGTAATATAGGAAGTGTTCTTTTTTGGATTTTGAGAGAGGGGAAAGTTGGTCATGGGATTTTGGTTCCCATTGACCAAGAATTTCATTTTCATTTTCCAGATTTATGTGGGGACCAGGGAAAATTTATTTTCCTGGGTATACCCATCTCCTAGGTGGGTAAATAAATTTTCCACCTAGGGGGAAAGTTGTTAGTACTTGAATAGGACAAAAATGCCCCTTTTAATAATGGATTTTTATGGATAAAATGGACATTACCTTATTTACTTAGAAAATAAAAGAACATGGGTAAATGCACTTACCTGGATAAATGTTTCCCAAGAAAAACTTGTGTAATTGCATTTACCCAGATAAATAACTTAGTGAAAAGCAAATGGGACCATAAAGTCACACTGCAATTAAAGAATTTACTAGAATTTCTTTTCTTAGTATAAAGACATACACTAGATAGTATTTGGCATTTTGTTAATCAATAAGGAAGATCATTACTGCTACTATTGAACTCTCTCTCTCTCTCTCTCTTCTTTCAGGTACGTTTTCACTAAGCAATCATTGCTAACAAACTTGTACTTTATTTTCTAAGGATTTGACATCCGATCTCTCCAAGAGTTGTTGATCACGAGAGTCACATTTTAACATTTAACACGCAAAAGAAAAGGAAAAAAAAAAAAGGGAAAGAGCAATAGCTTTGTTGCATTCTTTTATATTCTTTCTGGTTTCTCTCTTCCCTATGTTAAGTCCATCTGTAACGTTCACACTAAATTCAAGCAAAACCATACCAGACTTCATAAACAATATTTCTTGTAGAAGTTGCTAACTCTCTACATCCATCCTCTATAAATAGAATTTTTTTCTATGAGCTTCACTTCAATTTATTGTAATATCAAAAATTAATTAACAGAAGATGTCCAAGGAAGCAGATGATGCAAGACAGTATCAATGTCTGAAAAAATACGAAGAGATCGTAAAGCAAGTAAGTTTATATCTGTTTCTTAATCATTTGTCGTTGATTTAGGATTAAACTTGATAGCCATTGTTGCAGCAAAATTTCCAATGAAGTTTACACTTTATTTTACTTATTTATTTATTTAGGGGTGCAAAAGTTTATCTCAATCAGTATAAATAACAGATGAAAAAAGAAAATCAACATGAGTTCTCTTTATTTCTTGTATGTGATGCATAAGATATTCAATTGTTAATATACTAGCAAGATTTGGTAAATTGGATTAAAATTCATATATGATATGATTACCAACTTAAGAAGAGGTTTGCTGCTGCTGGTTTTATTGCTAATTTTATTCCATGGGAGATTTAAACCGAGTTATTATGGATTAAATAGAACCAGCCTAAGGGCTTTCAAGAAAAAAGAAGAAGTTTATTAATTTTGTGGGTTATTTATTTTCCGGTTTGATGAGCTGATCAACATTGTAGATGCCAGAACCAAACAGCCAAAGTATCGAAGGAAACGCTCTGTAAGTTCTTAATATACTATCTAGTTACTACCATGAATGTTCTCTTTCTCATTTTTTAAAGATTTTATGTTATATAATATTCATCTCTCTCTCTCTCTAAATCAATCAAATTCCTTCATAGATAACCTACTTATTTCTGCATGTGGAGGGTCAATGTGGCCAATCCACCATCCTTTTAGATAAGGAATGTTTGGATTCATTGTATCTTCATTGTCCTAGTCCAAATTAGCTACATATCCATGAAATTTATTGGAGATTTTCTTGAGTAATTTAGTTGAAGGTTTCAACCTTTATCAAAGATATCAAAAAAGGGAAGTTTTAGCAACATGGTAAAGGCTCTTGTTGAAACTTATATCATCAATAGATGATGAAGAGAGTGACATCTAAGCCATTTTGGGCCCCCAACCATGCATGCACGATTCTTGATTCATTTAGGTGGTTTTTACTATTTTATGTACCTGTAAATGGCATAATGACACATATGTGATAAACAAGAAATAAACTAATTAGAGAATCTATTTATTTATTTAATATTATTTGTTATTTTATTCTTAATAGACACATATTTCAATCTGTAATAATGTAAAGCTCAATCTCTACTAACTTGAAGTTGATATTTGTATTTTATTAGGGCTACTGCCTTTAAATGCTGCATATAATGTGCATGACAAAGTGAGTCATGCTTCCACTATTTAAAATATAAAA